AGTTATAAAATGCTGTGAGACCCAAGACACAGCTCCACTTTCATTGCTCAACAATGCAGACAGCGTGCATTTCCACACTCCATGAGTCAGACAAATTGGCCTTGCTTAAGCAAAGTACCTTCTTAAATCAACTTCTGGTGGCACAGACCTGCTTCAAACACTTCTACTTTTAGAAAGTAAGGCAATACATGTGATTCATGTATTTAAGAACTAGAAGGAACTAAGTGATTACTTCTAATATTCATACCTTAAAAATAAAATCAGCCGGGCGCTGGTGGCTCATGCCTGTAATCCTAGCTACTCAGGAGGCTGAGATCTGAGGATCACGGTTCAAAGCCAGCCTGGGCAGAAAAGTTCGTGAGACTCTTATCTCCAAAAAAACACTAGAAAACTGGAAGTGGTGCTGTGGCTCAAGAGGTAGAGTGCTTGCCTTGAGTTGAAGAGTGCAGGGACAGCGCCCAAGCCCAGAGTTCAAGCCCCATGACCGACAAAAAAGGAAAATTACTAAATAAAATAAAATAAAATCAAGCCGGTGCTGGTGACTCATGCCTGTAATTCCATCTACTCAGGAGGCTGACATCTGAGGATCCAGGTTCCAAGACAGCATAAGCAAGAAAGTCCACAAGATTCCTATCTCCAATTAGTCACCAAAAAGCCAGAATTGGAGCTGTGGCTCAAGGGCTCAAGCCTTAAGCATAAAAAAGCTAAGGAACAGAGTCCAGGCCCTAAATTCAAGCCAGCACAAAAGTAAATTAACTAATGAAAATAAATAAAATCAAAATAATTCCCTCACCCAGACATTTATTTGTTTATTTATTATTTATTTAAATTAGAGTTTGAACACAAGGCCTTATGCTTGCTAGATATGTGCTTTACCTTCTTAAATGATCATTTTTAATTTAATTTAATTTTTTGTCTGTTGTGGGGCTTAAACTCAGGGCCTGAGCGCTGCCTCTGAGCTTTTCTCCTCAAGGCTAGCACTCTACCACTTTGAGCCACAGTGCCATTTCCAGTTTTCTGCTGGTTAACTGAAGATAAAGACTCTCAAGGACTTTCCTGCCCAGGCTGGCTTGGAACCACGATCCTCACATCTCAGTCTCCTGAGTAGCTAGGATTATAGGCATGAGCCACCAATGCCTGGCATGAACTATCATTTAGAGTTGAGAAAACAAACTAGAATCTTCCTACATTGACCAATGATTGAATGAGAAAAGGATCACCAGATGAACATTTTAAAAGGGAAAACTAAAAGAAAATAATTAATTCACCTACTTTAAATTATATCTCGTGGGGCTGGGAAGATGGCTCAGTGGTAGAGCGCTTGCCTTGCATGCCTGAGGCCCTGGGTTCGATTCCTCAGCACCACATAAGAAAAAAGAAAAAAGCCGGAAGTGGCTCTGTGGCTCAAGTGGTAGAGCACTAGCCTTGAGCTGAAGAGCTGAGGGACAGCGCCCAGGCCCAGAGTTCAGGCCCCACGACCGGACCCCAAAAAAAAAATAGAAATCAGATGAAGATGCCTGTCCAAGAAGTAGATCCCAGGTGTGCACTCAGGCATGTTAGACACCATTTTAGACACAAACTCCCAGTGTGTGGCTAACCATTCAGTGTGTGCTAATTTCCAACAATGACCGCTGTAGGGCGTTTCTGGAAAGAATCCCAGACACACAGTCTCTAAGTAGCACCTGTGCATCCATGTGTGGCGTGTGAGTAACGAAGAGGGCCGGATGCAGGAGGAAACAATGATGATACACCTCATTGGGTGGCTAAGGAGACGAGATGTCTGGGTAGACTCTACCAGAAAAGTGTCCACTTTGAACAAATGAGAATTTGAAGATCTTGGAAAGGGTACAAAGAAGTCACTGTGATGATGAATGTTTTTTCTGAACCAGCACTGTCAGGAAAGAGGAAAAGCTATAATTAAGAAGGGACTTGGTAATCGCTGAAGGACTCTCTTTTACCCTGTGATGTAAATTTTAGAGGGCACACATAACATTTGCAATCACAACCTCCTTTTGGCCACATTCTTTTCTGACCAAATAATTAAAATTCTACAAATATCTCCGCTGTGTCAGGTGCATATGAAGTGTGAACACTGAAAACATATGTATCAAAAGAAACCACTTCAGTAGCCTTGAGACACCTGAAGTCAGGGTGAAACCCCAACCCAGCCTCTGTTCACGGAAGCTGCATCCAATAAACAACTTCACCACGTGTGGTTCCCATGGTAACAGCCACAGAAGCAGCTTCGCTGAACAAGACTGCCTGTGATCAACTGCCAACATGGAAATATAAATCCTGCCTAGTCTCTCTGCTCTGTAGCATTTCTCTCTCAGGCATGTTCTGTATTACAGAGTGGCAAGTGGAACAATGCCTTGCCTGTCTCTCCATTGTCACCAAATTTCAAGGGCAGAGTCCCTCTCTATGTTTGCACTGTAAAGACTTAGAAGTCTGGGTAGGGAAGTATTCTGTTCTTCCACTCAAAGGCAAGGAAAGTAATTTCATATCATTCTTTATCCATGTCCTTCACTACAAGCTCAGATTTTTCTCCCAGGCAACAATATCTTTTTCTTTTGGATTTCAGACCAGGGAATATTCGTATCAAGAACAAGACAGATTTCCAGAGAAGGTATTTTTAGAGAGTTGCAGGAGGAGGAAGCTCTAAGAATTCACTTAAACCTAGATTCAATTTTTGGTACAGAATGTCTCATAAGGACATAGTCTGTAGGTGTGCAAACATGTCACCAGGCTGGCAACAGACTTTGGGAGAGATCCCCAAGCCCTGAACTAGGATGGGTCTTGTATTGTCACCTAGGAGACACACCTCCTTCCCCCTTCCTTTCCATCTGAACAACAACACACGGTCATCCTAGATACTTGGGAGGCTGAGATTGGGAGGATCAAAGTTTGAGGTCAGCCCAGATGGAAAAATTCAGTAGACTCCTTCTCTTTACTCATAGGAGGCGAGAGTGACTCATTCCTGTCATGCCAAGCTACATGGGAGGCTGAGATAGGGAGGATTATGGTAGCCAGCCAGCTAGGGCAGAAAAGTCCATGGAACTCTCTCTTCATAAAGGAAAGCTGATCAAGGAGACAGGCGCCTATGATCCCAGAGACAACAGGGAGCCTAAAAGAAGGTGAATGGAGGCTCAGGCACATATCCAGGAAGGAAACAAGACATTATCCTAATAATAGCCAATGTAAAAACAGTACTAGGTTTATGGCTCAGTGGTACTGCATCTAGCAAGTACAACATCCTAAATTCAAATCCTGGTACTGACCCCCATTATTAAAAAAAAAAAAAAAGGCCAGGCACTGGTGGTTTGCACCTGTAATCCTAGCTATTCAGGAGGCTGAGATCAGACGATTGTGGTTCAAAGCCAGCTTGGACAGGAAATCCATGAAACTCTTATTTCCAATTAACCACCAGAAAACTGGAAACAATGCTGTGGTTCAAAGTGGCAGAGCGCTAGCCTTGAACAAAAGAGCTCAGGGACAGTGCCCAATCCCTGAGTTTAAGCCCCATGATCAACAAAAAGAAAAAGAAAAGTCAATCTGGCAAAAACAGCATTTTGGGGCCCTTGGAGAGCCCTTCATTGAGTTTAGATTGTGTTGAAAATGACTGTGCCGATGGCACAACTGGCTATCTGTAAATTCAGCTTCAAGGGAAATGATATCGATAATTTGGGCATTTTGTTTTTGACCTCAGGGTCTGGGTACTGTTGCTGAGTTCTTTCCACTCAAGGCTAGTACTCTACCACTTTGAGCCACAGTTCCACTTGCAGTTTTCTGGTAGTAAATTAGAATTAGAGTTTCATAGATAGACTTTCTTGCCCAGGCAGACTTTGAACCATGATCCTTAGATCTCAGGTTCTTGAGTAGCTAGGATTACTGGTGTGAGCCACCAGTGTCCACCTTTATTTTTTTCTTTTTTTTAATTTTTGTATCCAGAGTGTTGCACTTGTTAGGCAAGCACTTTGCACTAAGTTACATTCCAGCCCTTGATTTTTTAATAATGTAACTTTATTGTTATGATTAAGGTGTTGTACAGAGGTGTTACCATTGTATGAATTAGGTAATGAGAACATTTCTTGTTTAGGACAATGTCACTCCTTCCTTTCAATATCAATAGCTTTGAATTTGTGGCTAGGGATTAGCTCGTGGCTAGGAGTGTGGATTATGAATCTGTATCCCAGGTTTATGGTCTCACAGGGATGAGGGGATCAGACAATACTTTGTGATTCCACCACTGTGGTAGAGATGAGCTACTGGTTAATGTTTTAAGTAATAATTTGGAAATTTTTTGTAAGTTGTAGATTGGGTATGATCAAAAATAGATAAACTATTAAAAGTCATTTGTAGCCAGGCATTGGTAGCTCATACCTGTAATCTTAGTTACTCAGGAAGCTGAGATCTGAGGATTCTGGTTTGAAGCTAGACTGGATAGGAAAATCTGTAAGGCTCTTATGCCCAATAAACTATCCAGAAGTGGCACTGTGGCTTAAGTGGTAGAATACTAGCCTTGGGCACAAAGAAGCTCAGGGACAGTACCCAGGCCCTGAATCCAAGCCCCAGGACTAGCAGAGAGAGAGAGAGAGAGAGAGAGAGAGAGAGAGAGAGAGAGAGAATTTGTAGATGAGTACAGTGGATCATGCCTATAATCCTAGCTACTCGAGAGGCTGAAATCTGAGGATATCTGTTTGAAACCAGCCTGAGTAGGAAAGTCAGACTCTGATCTCTAATTAGTCCCCAAGACTGGAAGTAGAGCTGTGGCTCAAGTAATAGAGTGTCAGCCTTGAGCAAAAAAGCCCTAAGTGACAGCAGCCAGGCTCTGTGTTCATTTACTATGTATACATACATACATACATACACACACATTTATTTATTTATTAAACATATTCTAAATGTATTATGATAAAATGGTCTACTGAGGCTCAAACCTGCTGGCAATCTCTGGCAGAGTACTCAGAGTACTCAAAGACCAAATCTCAAAGTTGTCCAACATGACAGGCAGTATCTCCCTGGTGTTTACCCACCAGGTTTCATTGGCCATTGGCAGAGAGCTCCTCCCAGAGGTATTAATTCCCAACCACACCCTCAAGTTGATGGAGGTAGAATGTCCAAATGTTTGCATTCATCAGCAGTTAATGTAAATTATGAGAGCCATATGGTTGAGGCACCAATACTTTCTGCCACAGATGTTATTATGGGATGAGAGTGTGAGTCAATAAGCACTGTTACAAAAGGAACCACAGCTGGGCTGTGGCTCATGCCTGTAATCCTAGCTATTCAAATGGCTGAGACTTGCAGATTGTGGTTTAAAACCAGCCCATGCAGAAAAGTCTTCCAGATTCTATCTCAAATTAACCAGCAAAATGCTGGACTCATGGCGTAGCTCAAGTGGTAGAACACCAACCATGAGCAAGCACACCACTGGCAGAGAGTAAGGCCCTGAGTTCACCCACAAAATGTAATTGTAGGAAGCAGAGTTTTCAATGCCTTGCTCTGCCTTTGACTTTCAAACTAACTGTCAATGGGTATGAGCTTCACTGTTTGTGGCTTTCATTATTGAGAGAGGTCACAGAAATGAACATGAGTGGTGTAATGTGAGAGTCACTAGCTGAGTATCTGCTCCATACTGAGTGATCTGAGATAAGTATAAGGAAATGGAATTGTTCCTTTATACACGCTGCTTTTGCTGAAGCCAGACACCATTGACTCATGCCTATAATCCTAGCTACCCAGGAGGCTGAGATCTGAGGATCTCAGTTCAAAGCCAGCCCAGGAAGGAAAGTCCCTGAGTCTCTTATCTCCAAGGATCCACTATAAAGTTGGAAGTAGGAGTATGGCTCAAGTGGTAGGTTGCCAGCCTTGAGCACAAAAGCTAAGGGCCACTATTCAGGCTCGGAGTTCAAGCCCCATACCAGCATACACAAAAGAACAACCAAAACCAAAACAAAACACCATACTGCTTTACTGGACGGCATTGAAGACATAAAAACAAGGGGTAATGTCAGAATGAATGGTTAATTTTCTTTTCTTCTGCGTCATTACACTGACGTCAAGCATAGTAATTGGACTGGAGAGTAAAACATTCTTTTGTTAACTAAAGGGTGAAGTGCATTCTTTTTCCACTAAAAATGTCCCCCCATCTTTAACTTCAGTGGCATGTGCCATAGTTTGATAACAACTTCAGGAACTCAGTCAGTCCTTTTTGAAAACAACGGAAACTTTGTGTTCAGCTTCTCTACTGCCTGTAGTAAGGCAGCAAATGAGACCCAGGAGAATTCATTTGGCGCTCATGTGCTCAGCTGGGGCCTGGAAGGAGAGGAGGTTTGGAGCTCAGAGGGTTGGCTGTGTGTTTATGTTACAAGGGATGACAAATGGGGTTCTCTATGCTCCTCTAGGTTACCAACTTGCTCTCACCTTGACCTAAAAGAGGAAAAGGTATCACCAATTGGAATTGTCTCCTTAGTACTTTTCCAGACCAGACAGGTAAAGAAAGAGTCTGGACTTCCTTGCAATGGAACAACTGCCCTGCATTCTTTTTATGTTTTATTTTTTGTACCAATCCTGGGGCTTGAACTCAGGATGTGAGCACTGTCCCTGAGCTTCTTTTGCTCAAGGCTAACATTCTACCACTTGAGCCACAGTGCCACTTCTAGCTTTTTCTTTTTATGTGGTACTGAGGAATCAAACCCAGGGCTTCATGCATGTGTGGCAAGCACTCTACCCAAGTCCTGCATTCTTGAGTGTCTGAAAAGTTCTGCAGATATAAAAAGAGCTAGCTTTGAGCAAAAAAAAAAAATTCTCAGAGACAGGGCCCAGGTCCTGAGTTCAAACCTTAGGACCAGCACAAAAACAAACAAAAATGACAATGACAAAAAATTGATAACAGCTAGAGTTTGTAAACATACTGTTTAAAAAGTATCTTGGAGGATACATACTGTCAATAGAACTGAAAATTGACAGAGGCCTTTCAAGGCAAACCATGACCCAGTAGTGGCAATGACAGCTATCTAGCCCAGGGAACACTGACTCTTGTGCGCAAAGGGCTGGGTACAAGAAGAAGTGTGAGTCACAGATGTTGAAAACATCAACATTGAGAATGGGAGAATGAGCACATAAACTAGGGTTCGCGCATTCTATTGCAAAGCAGGCAGCACCTCAGAAGATTCAGGAAATGCCATAGATTTGGCTTGACAAGAGAGCTTAGCTCAGGAACAACACCCAGGCCCCATGACCAACAACAGCATCAACAAAAAAGCCTCAGTGCTCCATGCACACACATATGCATGTTGTACATGTATAACCCCCCCACATATACATGTTGTACATGTATACCCACACCCACACACATACACACACCCCTAGGGAAAGTTAATCCAGACTTTAACTCTAGACCTTAAGATACAGAGAAGAGCAAACATTTCACTAAAGGAATTTGAACAGTTCTGCAGTTTTGCAATAGTGTTTTGTATCTGTTTGGGGTACAAAGGAAATTTTCTCAGCAATATGGAAACAGGTAAATTTAAGCATTACTTAAGAAGAATAAGGCAAAAGAGCCAAGCATGATGATGCATTCTGTAATTAAGGAGGTTGGAATTCCCAGCATAGAATTTCCTGATTGTCAGAACTTGGGTAATCCATGTCAGATGTCTCTATGCTTCTACTTTTCTATTTTCAAAATGGAGGGGGAGGAGGGAAGAAGCAGGAAAATCTTGAGTTTGAAGTCATCTGAGCCAAACTATCTAAAACCAAACAAACAAGGGCTTCTGGGTACTAGTGGCTCATATCTGTAACCCTTGCTACTCAGGAGGTTGAGATCTGGAGGATTGAAGTTCAAAGCCAACCCATGAAAAAAAAATCTTCAAGATTCTATTTCCAAAATAAACAGCAAAAATAAAGGCTGGAGGTATTCCTCAAGTGGGAAACCCCCAGCTAAGCCAGCAAACTAAGCAAGCATGAAACCTGGAGTCCAAAAACCCCAGTAGTAGAAGCGGGCCGGGGGGTGGGGGGGGGGCGGAGGGGAGGAAGGCCAGGGGAACCTGAGCAGTAGAGCTCTTGCCTAGCATGTGCAAAGCCCTGGAATTGATTTCCAGAACTGCAAAATAAATAATGATAATGGTGATCATCGTAACTGTTCTATTCTGCTAATAACACCTATTACTCATGTACCACTTTCTAAAGTAGACCGGGAGCCAAATTTATCTTCTTTCAATCAGGTTTTCTCTACCTCTCCCCCTTTTTTTCTCTCTGGTCTGGCTTGAGCAAGGCAGTAACTGGGGCAAACTTTGAAACTTTAATTCACATGGTGTCCTTCCAGGAAGGAAGGAAGGAAGAGAGGGAGGGAGGGAGGAAAAAAGGGAGGGAGGGAGGGAGGGAGAGAGAAGGGAAGAGAAGAGAAGAGAAAAGAAGAGAAGAGAAGAGAAGAGAGAGAGTGCCTTTTAAGGTTGGAAGGCTGAGGCAAGGGGATTAAATCAGAGTTCAAGGTCAGGCTTAGCAAGACCCTCTTTTTCTTTTTCTTTTCTTTTTTTTGGGGGGAGGGGGGGAGGTCTGGTCATGGGGCCTGAACTCTGGGCCTGGACGCTGTCCCTCAGCTCTTCAGCTCAAAGCTAGCACTCTACCACTTGAGCCACAGCACCACTTCTGGCTTTTTCTTTTTGCTCATGTGGTGCTGAGGAATCGAACCCAGGGCCTCATGCATGCAAGGCAAGCGCTCTACCGCTGAGCCACCTTCCCAGCCCCAAGACTCTCTTTTTCAAAGAAAGGGAGAGAGAGAGAGAGAGAGAGAGAGAGAGAGAGAGAGAGAGAGAGATTGAGAAAGGATAACCCCTTTGTACAACACCTTAACAATAATAATAAAATATTTTTTAAAAAGTTTTTCATTTTCCTGTACCTCATAAACTCCAAAGGTAACCTTGAAGTCCTGGCAAATGCATGGTGATCCCAAAGCTTAGAAGAAGATTAAAGGTGAAGTTGTGGCTATCATAAGATAAGCCTTTGGTTAGTTTCTCCACAAATGCATCTCCTGAATGCCAGGATGACTGCTGGGTGGTTTGATGAAGGCATACTTGCCAACCCGTATTGCAAGAAAACAAGTCAAAACAGTCTTGTTTCCTGTGTTTTCTTGTCACCTTTAAGGAATCTTAGTGACATACTGTCAATTATGGAATGAGTCCTGAGAAGTTTTTTTTTTTCCCATATGAGAAAAACAAAATGTGAAATAGCAGGTATTAGAAAGTTAGTGCTTAAATTTAATATATACATGTATATAAATTCTTATGTATACATAAGGTATTTTAAGAACAACAATTTAGACACAGTATAGAGTAGTTGCCTCTGGGGAGAAGACTGAAAAACTCAGGCTTGAGTTTGGAAAGGGATTTATGGGGCAATTTGACTTAAATGGTAGAGTGCCTGTCTAGCAAGTACAAAGCCTTGGGTTCAGCACCACTCCCCCCCAAAAAAAGAGAAACAGATCATCTCTGGTATTCTTTGTTTTTACCCTTTCCAAACAAGCCAGAGAACGTAATTTATAGGTGTTTGCCATCCCTAAATATTTTTACTATAATTTGTCATTAATAGATTATTAAATACTATCTTTGATGACTATATAGATAGAATGGCTTATAAACATCTGAAATTTATTTCTTACAGTTCCAGAGGCTGAGACATCCAAGTTTGAGGCGCTGGCAGATTTGGTGTCTTCCTGAGAGCTAGCCTTTGGTTAATAAACTTCTACTTCTCATTGTAACTTCACAAGGGAGAGGGGGAGGCAGCAGCTCTCTCAAGGGCCAAGGGTCACCAAAGGCACTAATCTCTTTTAGGAAGGCTCAACCCTCACAAGACATTCATCTCCCAATGCCTCAATCCCTAATATTGTTGCATATTAGGTTTTCCACCTGTGAATTTCACAGGGACCAGGGGCATTTATTCTACAACAAATAAACAGTGCTACATGAAAGGAAAATCACTTCTGTAACATTGCAAAACAGGAATGTCAACACTTAGACTTACTTTTTCCTCATCAGAGATTTCTTTTTACTGCAAATAATCCACAGTGTTACTTCAGCTTAAAAATGAATAATGAAAAAAATGAATAATGAAAGCTGGGCACCAATTTTACCTACTCAAGGGGCTGAGATCTGAGGATTGAGGGTCATGATCTGAGGACCATGGTTCAAAGCTAGCTTGGGCAGGAAAGTTTATGAAACTCTTATCTGCAATTAACCAGCAAAAAAAAAAAAAGCCTGAAGGGGAGCTGTGACTCAAGTGTCACAGCACCAAACTGAGCAAAAAAGCTCAGAGGCAGCCTCAGGACTGATACAGAGAAAAAGAGTAACAGAGACCAGGTGATGCTCATTGGAGAACAGATAGTGATCAAAGTGTCCCAGAGGTTACTAAGAAAATTTCAGAACAGCTTTAGGGAAGTTGTGAAACTTACTTCCCAATTTGTAAGGCAGATAACAGAATTACTGTATGATGTTGAAATCTGTTTGGCGTGTGTGTGTGTGTGCGCGCGCGCGCGCGCGCGCCAGTGCTGGGGCTTGAACTCAAAGCCTGAGTAGCTAGGACTACAAGTATGAGCCACTTCACCTTTTTTTTGTTTGTTTGCCAGTCCTGGGGTTTGAACTCAGGCCTGGGTACTGTTCTGTGAGGTTCTTTTGCTCGAGGATAGCACTCTGCCACATGAGCCACAAGGCACATGGATGTGCCTTTCTGTTTATCTGGTAATGAGGAATCAAACCCATGGCTTCAAAGCACTTTACCCCTAAGCCACATTCCCAGCCCCACTTCACCTTTTTTGTCTTCCATTCGGTCTTCAGACATCTCCCTCTGTGGCCCTAGTAAGGCTTCTTATTCGTTGGGCCTCAGAGAAAGGACACATGCTTTTCTAGATGAGTGGAAGCATTTTCCTTAGAGCAAAGTAATTATCCAGTTCACTCAGATTCCTTCCGCATAGGCTCAAATACACATTTCCTGCCTACCCAGTGTTTTTGTTTCTTTTGTCAATCCTAGGGTTTGAACTCAAGGCCTTGTGCTTGCTTAGGCAAGTACTCTTATCACTTAACCCCTACCTCCACTCCCCAAGTATTTTTTTAAAAAATATATTTTTTATTTTAAGAAGTCAATATCTGGGGCTGGGAAGGTGCCTCAGTGGTAGAGTGCTTGCCTTGCATGCATGAGACCCTGGGTTTGATTCCTCAGCACCACAGAAGCAGAAAAAGCCGGAAGTGGCTCTGTGGCTCAAGGGGTAGAGTGCTAGCCTTGAGCTGAAGAGCTGAGGGACAGCACCCAGGCCCAGAGTTCAGGCCCCATGACCAACCAAAAAAAAAAAAAAAAAGACAGTATCTGTTGAGTGCTTGGTGCTTCTGGCTCATGCCATTACATGTGTAATCCTAGCTACTCAAGAGGCTAAGATCTGAGTATTGCCATTTGAAGTTAGCTCAAGCAGGAAAGTCCATAAAACTCCAATTACTCACCAAAAAGCT